CTCCCAAGATAAAACCACACATTTATTTCAGAAATGAGATAACTAGAGGGGTATGCCAGTTGGTATCTGGTGAGCTGTGGGCTGGATGGTTAGGTTGCTAAGATAAGGCTTAGTACATGAAACCACCTTCTAAAGTTGGTACTGATTTGATGTGGATTGCAACAATGTAGATGTGATGGTGCTGTTATAACGACCTTGTGAGTCTGTTTCCATACCTCTTCCACAGGTTCATTTTATGTTCTGCTTGAGGGTAAGCAAATGATAAGTTTGGGAGAATTGTTATACCATGGTTATTTTACTTTTAGGTCATATCTTTATATATGTTTCGAGTTGTTTTCAGATATAGGTATGTTTTGGAGAATTATAGAGATCATAGAGCCATTTAATGATTAAAGAGAAGAAAACCCGTAGCTGTGCTAGAAAATAGAATTCATAGTCGATATTCAGATATAGTGTCAAACGGCACCAATGTGGTTTGACGTGGCCAGCTGAAGTTTCCAGAATTGCGGTTTTAGCCCAGAAGGTTCTCTATTTGCAAGAAGACTCCTAGACGTGTGATTTAACCTATACAACCTATTTTTCCGCCACTGTTTAGGCATTCAGTCTTTAACTTAAGCTTTATTTAGTTTTGGAGAGAAGATCTGAGACTTGTTTAGAGATTGACTGGAACTTCAGTTCTTACTGTTATATTCTTATGCGATCCATTCAGTTTATTTTTATATTTTACATGATCATGTCTGAGTAATGTACTGGTTAGGTTTAGGGTTTTTCTAGGGTTTTGATGAACTTATAATTATAGAACTGCTAGGTTAATCTACTTGCATCCTTCACCATGATTAATCTTATTGCTTGTCTCTAGAGTAATTAACTAGAAACCTGATCTTATGATAGTTGAAAAATAAAAGAGTGAGAGCAACATCTGGAGTGACTCTTGCGGAGATAAGTTGTCAGACACAGTGAGAGTTGATCTAGGAACTTAGTGAGCATATCAAATTGACACTTAATGCTTTTCTAGAGTTATTGGATCCACATCAAGAGTTGGCGTTTGATGAAGACTTTGATAGAAACCGCAGCGCGAGTTGTATAGCTTACTTTTTAATTCGAGTTCTAGGATTGACCTTAATAAGATCCTTAGCATCTACATATTTGAGTTCTGAAAACCTGCTCGAATTCCCTAAACCTAGCTTCTTTCATATATATATATATATATATATATATATATATAATATTTACAAACCAATTTAGTTTCTTATTTTACTTGTCTAGCTTAATCTATAAATTACATTCGATGTGGATTTGATCCCTAAGTATTGCAATCGAGTTGCTATACGGTAATTTGAGCATTATCAGTTAGCAATATAATCTGGAAGGTGTTAAGGTTATTAAATCTAAGTAAACAAGAAAAAGTTACCTTTCGATCGACCATTAGAAAATCTACGCCCATCAACTCTCCACCTTTCTTAATGCTTCAAGCTTCGCGGAACTGAAGAAGCATAATTTAAAAAAAAAATTCTAATCATATCAATTGACAATGTGATATTATTGTTGAGTTATCCCTTTTAAAAAATGTTTGGAATATTTTTTATATGTAAAAATATCATATCCTAATATATACTAATTGAGAAATCACGTAATTGTTTTGGTGATGTGTCAATCATAAGATAGCTTTTCAATTAGTTATTTAATTTGATGGGTTGATGGGTTTTTATTTTTAGTTTATTTAATTCATTTTAAAAATTATAAATCAAGAACTAACTTTCATAACTAAATAAACCATACTTACCAATAATGGTTATCACAAATATACATTTAAAAATTGTGTTATCAATTCCTAGATTTGCGTCATAAATTATCTTTTTCATTTAATTAAATAAATATTTTATGAAAAGAATAATTTGAAACTTTCCATTTCCTAATATATAAATAATTATAAAAATATAGTTAGTAGTTAGTAATTTTATTATGTATGTATTGTATAGATAACAATATACGAAATTATATATAGAATCATTTAAAAAAATATTAATTTAGATACCAAATATTTTTTGTCCAATAATTTATAAATTCAGTATTTTATTGAAAATATGGTAAATTATTTCATGTTTTAAATGATTTTTTTTTACGAAAAAAGATTTAAAAATATCCTTGTATGTTATATATATGTATAGTTAAAAATAAAATACAGTCAGTTATTAATATATTTCATTAGTTGTGTATTGCATAGATAATTATATACAAAATATGTATATATAATTAAATTTAATAGTAAATTTAAAATTAATTTTAGATAAAATAAATTAAAGTTACTTTTATAAAAACTTTTATCAATTGTAAAAAAATGGAAAAATAATTTTATACATATTTAAAAACAATTTGTGTAAGAAACTTTGTAAAAAAATTTAATTTAATTATTTAGTTTGATTGTTTAATTGGTTTTAACGTTTAGTTTATTTAATTCATTTTAAAAATTGGAAATAAAGAACTAACTTACATCAATAACCAAATAAACCATACTTACCAATAATGATTTTTAAAAATATATATTTAAAAACTGTGCGTCATTTCCTAGATTTTTGTCATAAATTATCTTTGGCATTTAATTAAATAAATGTTTTATGAAAAGAGAGATTTGAAACTTTCCCTTGCATAATTTATAACTAATTATAAAATATAATTAGTGGTTAGTAATTTTATTACGTAATGTATTGTATAGATAATAATATACAAAATTATATATACTATAATTTTAAATAAAAATAAATTAATTTTAGATACCAAATATATTTTGTCCAATAAATTATAAATTCACTATTTATTTCATGTTTTAAATGATTTTTTTACGAAAAAGATTTAAAAATATCCTTGTATATATGTTATATATATGTATAATTAAAAATAAAATACAGTCAGTAATTAATATTTTTATTATATGTGTATTGCATAGATAATGATATACAAAAATATGTATATATAATTAAAATTTATAGTAAATTTAAAATTAAATTTAGATATCAAAATAAATTGAAGTCCCTTTTATACAAAACCTTATCAATTGTAAAAATGGATAAATAATATTATACATATTTAAAAACTATTTGTTTAAGAAACCCTGTAAGAAAATTTCATTTGCATGTTATAGATATAACTAAAAATAAAATAAAATTAGTTGCTAATAGAATAATTATTTATATTTGACTTACAAACCATATCAATAAGAATTGTGTGTCTAACTGCTTTTATTTATCAGAATCATTTAATTGAAAATTATCCATCAATACCATTAAAACATAAACATTATGTTTAATGAATTTTTTATGTTTTCCAATTATACTCTTAATGATATAACCAAGTTTTTATTTCATTAATGGCAATATGGTCTTCTGTTTTTTTTTTGCCTAAAAATTATATACTAATGAGTTTTATTAGTGGACTGATTCTCTTCCAAATTTTATAAAAATGAACTTGCAAAAATATATTTTCTTTACGAGTCACACGAGTCAAATTTTTGGGTAGAAAAAATGACTCAACCCGTTGCGGGTCAAGACTGAACGATTGAAATTTTGTAACTAAATGATTTTACGAATTAATCACAAAACTAAAAAAAAATTGGACCATTTAATTGTTAAATATAAAATCTTTCTCAAGTACACCTTTTAGGTACAACCATTGTTAACTTATCTAGAAAAATAAAAAAATTGTCCGAGACATTATAAAACAAAAAAATTTTCATACCCGCATAATAATTTGATCTTGATTCTGTGACATTCTATATCATTAAAGCAAAAGCCTTATTGATCCATCTGTAGATAAAACAACAAAAATAATACCCGTGCTTTTTAATCGCGAGTCAAAAATCTAGTAATGTTTTAAAACTTTATACTAACTAGAATTTATTTGTATCATAATATGCACTTCTTATTATCTATTAAATACGACACTGTTACTATGAATTCATATAAATGTATACAGTAACAGAAACTGATTGCTTACATGGAAATACTATAAAAAATTTATTAAACTAATCCACGACACATATATATAGTTTTGTTTCTTCTCAATAATCTTTATATATATATATATTTTTTATCTTCAAGTATGGATTTTTTGTCACATAATTTATAGTTTTAGTTTCAATAACTTTTATATGAAAAATTTGATCTACAAACTATTTAATATATATACATATATATCGCCTGCATGTGAATGTTTAAAAAAATATGAAATTATATTTTTAATGGATTAAAATCCAAATCAGTCATATATAGTAATTGATAAAAAAAAAAAATTTAATGAGATATTAAAAATATTATTTATACTTTTAAAAATTATTCAAAAACAAAATTAAATAAATATATAAAATATGTTTATTTACAAAATATCTATGAAAAATCACATTCAATTTGAAAACTAAAAATAAATTATAGAATGTCAAAAACATAACAATATTACATTATATTTTAAAATTATTTGTTTCCACAAATCTGCGAACAAACTTTATTAGTTAAGATATCAGTTGGTGTAGGTTTCAAAAATGTCAAAAGTTTGTAGTTTTCAGTAAATCAGGTAAACTTGGGTAACAACCGGCCCGTAGCTAGTTTAATTACTTAAGTACGCTTATTGCCAAAAATATTCAGACAAACCAATACTCCTCTGTAATTAGATGTGTTTGTTTAATGTTTTTGTACATTGATTAAGAAAATACAAACCTGTATGGAATTTCTATTTTGTTAAATAAAATAGTTCAACCAATAAGAGTAAAATGTAGTATTATTTAATTAGTCACAAATTTAAAATCTAATATAATGAGAACATCAATTATTTTGTAACAAAATTATTTTCTTTTCAAACATCACATAAACTGAAACGTATAAGTTTGATACAACACATTTTCTTAGCTCTCTATGTTATGGTATCAGATTCTCCAAAATATTTTCTGGAAGCAAATTTTATATCCTCTCCCAAGTCACCACATTAGCTTCTCAGCAAGCAACAAGTCCTCATCACGCATCATAAAGACCAAGCTTAACAGGAGAACCTAAGGCATTAATCCAGTCTCCTTGTAAGAATGGGCCAACAGTATAATTCAAAGCTTCTTCCTTGTTTATGACCTTAAATCCAGGCCACTTTACTCTCGATGCTGTATCTCCACTTGGTCCTTTGTTTTTGTACTCCGCATAATACAATGTATCTATTGCGAAATCTGTCTCTTGCCATCTCAACCACCCAGTTGGGTCGATCACATCTTCGATGGTAGATTCCATTACAACCGTTCGAGAGTAGTTCTTCCATGGTCTCCCCAAATAACTCTTGTACTCTGCCTTCACGGGCTTAAGATCTTCACTTGCGGCGATTTTACATTTATGGATCACAAAACCGGTCGTTTGAAATTTGTCAACGCGTCCTTGAGCAGACACCGTGTTCTTCTGTCCTGATAAACCCTTTCTAATGAAAATGTTACAGTTCTGGAAGATGGCAGCCGCATCTCCGAATATGAAGTCTATGGTTCCGACTATAACACAACTTCTATAGTACTGACGATGCGTGTAGGCGTACAGTGTGTCTTGAAAGCCTTCAAATCGGCAGTTTAGGAAAACCGATCTATCAGATTGGACACGTATTGCCACAGCTTGATGTTCATCAGGCCCAGCCGTATTTCGGAATCCCATGGACTGTGCCATGAACCCTTCTCCCTGTGCAACTGTTTAAGAAACCAACATTTAGAAAAGTTTTTAGTTTTGATTCACACTGGCACTTAACAAATTCACGTTAAGAAAGAACTATGGGGGGTTTTTACAATGAAAGTAATGGCTCGCCTCTTTCAATATTCGACATGAGCATTTGCATACATTGTATATTTGGAAACATGTGTCTATGATCTATTTTGCAAAAAGAATATCTAAGCCATTTTTTGAATCTGCAGTGAAGCTCATTTTATACGGTAGAAGTTTATAAAATATAAATATAAATATATATAAATATAAATAAATATAAATATAGACATTTTTATTTATGTATAATTTCATCAAACATCTCTAAACTGAGATTTTATATTTTCTGTAACTTAATCAAACGTTGTTTATTAATTCTTTTGAATTTGTTCTTATATATTGCGTTAAGGCTTATAAGCATAAGCACGGCTTTGTAAATTTGGTTGCATCTTAGTGTGAGTATGAAATTCCAAATAAAAGAATTACCGAATGTTGCTGTGAGAAAAGTGCGGATTTTCTTTGCGTGGCTTTTATTACCGGTAACAATCGTCTTCTGTGATCCATCTCCGACCATAGTAAGGTTCACCTTCTTCTTATCCACAGTAACAGATTCGTCATAAACTCCTTGTTTGACGTAGATAATGTACCTAAAATTTTGAATTACAACAAAACTTACACTTAGCTAAGTTGACGTAAAGATCACGTTATGCAATAATTGTGTCGACCTACCTTCCCTCATATTTTTCAGGCATTGCTTTGAGAGCATCATTAATGGTTGTGAAATTTCCACTGCCATCTTTAGCGACGGTGGCGTTAGGATTCAAAGTTTCCACATCAACAGCCCTTAACATTCTTCTATCCTCGTTGCTTACCCAAGAAGGGATTTGCTCAAGTAAATGTCGTGTTGCGACCTTTGTAACGGGAGATATATTTGCGTCAAAGGATTTGATCAATGCTAGAGAATTGCTGGTCAGAACCTGAGAAGAGTTTAGGCTCTTCTTTACTTCAGATTTTAAGTTTCCTTCCTCAAACCCGTCAAGGCATGTCTCCTGATAAGACATGACCGCGCTTAGCCAGTTGTCCAAATCAGGAACTATTTTCACGAAGTTGTTGATTTCTGTGCCGTTAACTTTGTTCAGCGATGCGACCATTTCTTCCTTTGCGTCTTCAACAAGCAACTTGCATTGCGCAATCGCATCTTTATCGTCCTGGTTCTCAGTCTTGAGACTTAAGACCTTCTCCAATACTCGGTCAAGATCTTCATGGACAGCTTCAAAGGCAGCTTTCAAAAATGTTGACGGACTTTCTACAGCGAAACCCTTCTCTGTTCTGTTCTTAAGGGTATTCTCGCAGCTTATCTTGTAAAGTGTTGCGCTGCAGAGAGTCTGGATGATATTATCGGCCTGACCAGGTTTCACTGATTGCGCTGCGGAAACAGGAGCTTTCGGGGTTGGGCTTGCGCTTTGGCTCTTCTTCTGGCTATTCTTGGCATCGTTCTTATTGTTATTCTTCGCTTCTTGTTCATTTTGCTTCTCGAAAGCGACATAAGCAAAAGCTCCTCCTATAATGGCAGCAACAACCACAAGCAAAGAGACCGTTCCAACAATGATCCTTTTCCTGAACTTACGTTTCCTGTTGGCGTTTACACGTTCTTGGATCTTGTCAAAATCCTGAAACGCCATTTTAATTTTAATTTTTTTTTCCTGAAAATTTTGCTTGGGGAGAGAAAGAAATGAATCCCCTCTACCTTAGAAGAGGGCCAAGGCAGCGAGGTTAAATGGGAAGATGAATCCTCTTTAAGTTTTATTTTTGGCTCTTTTTGGTTTTCTCTCCCCTGTTTTTGATTCCTTGGTTTCAGTTTTATTTGTTACTTTGTTGCCATTTCAACGAATGAACAAATGTGCTCTGGACAGGAGATTTTTGTGGGATGATGTCCGTTACTTTTACCTGGAAAAATTATTTTCATGCCTTCTATATTTGGCGTTCTTTTGTCCAATCGGATATTGATTATTGAGACTAGAGTTGGTCAAATAGAGAATCAATTGATGTAGCAGCTGAGTTGGAATCGTTATAGGGAATCTCTACCTTTTTTTTTATCTTTTGTTAAGATATTTCATATGGATGTAAATGCAAAAAACATGTTTTTTGCCTAGGCTATGTTCACTTTTGTATTTACTTTTCTTTTACATAATCTACTATTCTATTACTCAAATTGGAAATGATATATGCAGTGAGACCAAAATAGAATAATCAACAAAACAAAATCTCCTATATAATATTTTGTATTTCTAGCTAAAGAATAGAAATTGCATCTTACTCTCGAGGGATGTAAAATATCCTGAAGATCTGAAATCGTCTATAAAGAGTCTTTATCTTTTTCAACTCTGTTGAGGAATTTTGACATGCATGAGATTCTTTAATTATAGTAATCATGTTCTTACAGTTCGTTTGTTTTTGTATTTGGTCGCATCATCTCGATGCAAAATTTGGATGTTACATATAAATGTGTTCGTTTTGTTATTTGTATCTAGATACAACATTTTTTTTTGGAACACAGATACAACATTTAGATTTCTTTTTTTTTATTTTATTTTATAATAGAATTTGAATAATATTGGTCAAGAAGATGAAAAAGACATTATCGCATTGTTTTCTTGTTCGATGATGGTTGCATCATCGTGATTTGGTCTGAGCTAACTACACTCACTCACAGCTATGAGGGAACTTGATCTGGTTGTTAGAGCTACCCAAACTCTTGACTCAATCCCTGGACTATGCCTATGTTGTATTCAGGTCGATGCTTCGTCTGAACTTGACTACACTTATCCATAGGACGTCCATCTGGCCCTCGGCATGACTGAGGGTGTTACAGCCAGCATATTTTTCGTGTTCTCTCAGTCTGTCCCATCCCATTGCGATTCGAAAGGATTGCAAATGCGCTTTGTGAACGACTATGCCATTGTACAAGGGCATCTGGATCTTTCCAGGATCAGAGATTCTCTTATTGGTGATGCAAGCGGTAGTGGGAGTCTTCTACACTTCCTCCAAAAGCCTGTCTATTTTGAGCCCATACCATTGCGATTCAAAAGGATTGCATATGCGCTTTTGGATTGGCTATGCCGTTTTACGAGGGGATCTGGATCTTTCCAGGACCAGAGATCTTCATTTTGGTGATGCAAGCGGTAATAGGAGTCTTCTACCCTTCCTCCAGCAGTCTATCTATTTTGAGCGTGATAAATCTCGTTGTATTCACCGCAGTTTGATTTCCGAACATATCGGTGCTTGTGACAGAATATTTTGCTGCTCGAGTGGAATTAGTCCTAGGTGCACTAGATAAGAGCCAGTAAGAAAAATGTACATTATTTTTCTCTTTATCGCTGAGAAAAGAGCTTATTTCATTACATTTGTCACAGGCTTAGGAAAGCCAAGATTTCCTTCAATGCGGATTATGTGTATCAATACCTGGCCATAGTAGGACTAGAAGAAACCTTGGGAACTTATAGATACTTGCTCCAATAGACTATGCACTTCATTCATTCCAGAAAGGAAAATTAGAAGTACGCCCATCATGGTGAACCTATTCTTGTGATCGGGATGAGGTAAATGCCCGCCCCCAGCTGGGAGCGGATCCAATCGGAGATTTCTTAGGTAGCCACCGACCTACAGTTATCCTTCCCTAAGACTTAAATGAATAGCCATTTCTGTTAAGAACAACCAAGAGACCCAATGAGAATTTGAGTGTAGCTTCTGGTCTTTGATATACAAAAATAAGGTTGTAATTACAGAGCAGACATGTGCAAATTTTGTCCTAGCTAGTGTGCTCCCCGCCCCATCAAATACACTGTTGGATCAAGGCCAGCCATTACTTTCGCAATATCTACCTTGAACTCGAAGAGGTCTTCGGCTTGATTGTGGGCTAACTGGATGACCTTGTATGAGGGATAAGAAAATGCTGCACAACTTAGTCACAGCAAAGGGGATTTCTTGTCTGGTGACTACTCGGAAACTAGCACTGAAAAAGGGAATACTATCAATATGGTCAATATGATATTACCTCGGTGTGCTGATTGTTGGACCCAGTAATTGACTCAGCGATTACGGCCCATAATAAGGAAGATAGTGTTGGTAGATCGATGAAGGGTAAAAGGAGTGGGCTAGGCCCACATGTAGCCGCCTTAACGAGCAGAGCCCATTGACAAAAACCCATCGAAGATGAGTGCCAGGCCGCAGAAAGAGGAGGGGATGTTGCATAATTATAGGAAGGAGAAGATGATATAAAAGAATAGAAGAGAGGAACAAAGGGAACACATGTGAAACCCTATAAACTTACACCAAACACATCGCCATCGACCTCAAGTTCTCTCATTCTCATCAATTTGTATTTGAGCATTCATAGTTAACTTTTATGCTTCGATCTCTTTCTATCATTGTATTCAACATAACCTTATCAATAAAAGTTCATTTTTGTCAATCGGAATCTGTTTACATTGTTGTGTTCTAAGGATATCGTTGCCCACGTTATTTCTCCCCTAATCTTTTACTAACAATCACTTCGAAATACGTAGTGTGGATTTCAGGATCCTGTTTTTGCCGCCGTCTGTGGGGAAGATAAACAAAAACGTCCTTGCTAAGAATCCGATCTAAGGTTCCTAAGCATGATCAGGGATCCCACTCAGATCCCATCTGGTGCTATCAAAACATGAGTGGTCGACGCCAATTTCTACAGATCAGGAACAATAAACCAAGCATCGCTGGTGGGCCCCGCCAATACCTGCCTGGCCGTCAAAAGAAAGAGAGACAGCCAAACCCAAATAAACCGCAGGAAACGTATCACCACCACTGATGATAAATGACCTGATATGATTGCGTGAACAGCGGCCAAATCCGATGATGAAAATCCACAACCCAGAATGACGATCTCAAATGACGATCAGATCATTTTTCACGAGCACAAAGTGATCAAACTTGATAAACATCACGATGCTGCCTTAGTCGTCGAGTTGGACATAAGAGAAGCTACCTTCTAGATAATTCTAATCGACACTTGGAGTTTAAGTAATATCCTCTCGCATGAAGCCTTCAAAATTACCGGCTGCCCCAATCCCATAAAAACTCACGAAAAGAAACCGATCTCCAGCCTCGGAGGATCCGCAATACGAACGCTATAATTTACTTGGCTGATTGTAAAAACCTACAACCTTGAGCTTGAGACCGAGTTCACGATGGAAAAACATTTCATCCCCTTCAATGCTATATTAGGGAGCCCTTGGCGGCGCGAGATGAAAGCCGTCCCATCGATCTCTCATCAATGCGTAAAATTGATCTCCTTGACCAGTCAAAAACTATCCGTGGGAGCCATAAAGAATCACGAGCCTGTTACTTGAACGGTTTCTTGAAAACACGAGTACTGTAGCTCTGGACGATCACCTCCCCAAAAGATGTTTCAACATCAGAAATGACCTCTCGCAAGAAGAGAAAAACGACCTACTGGTTTTCTTAAAAGAAAAGAGGGAAATATCCTGACGCTAACTTAGTCGGCTGAGGATATGCCAGAGATCGACATTAGAATCAGCTCTCATTAGTTAAATGTAGATTCAAATCCGTGAAGTAAAAATGACGAAAATTAGGTCCCGAGCAAGCCAAGGCCGTCAATGACGAAGTCAATAAACTCCTGAAAATATTATATATCTTAAAAGTACAATATCCAGATTGGCTCACTAATCCAGTCTTATTAAAGAAAAACAGTAAATGGAGGGTATGCATCGATTTCATTGATCTTAACAAAGCCTGCCCAAAAAATAGTTTTCCACTCCCGCACATCGATCGATTGGTACAAGCTACCGCAAAGCACGAACTACTTTCATTTATGGACATTTTCTCCGGCTATAATCAAATCCTCATGAACCCCAAAGATCAGGAAAAATGAGTTTCATCAAAGAGCATGACACCTAGTGTAATAATCCTCATGAGCCAATGAATTTTTGGTCGAGAAAACTTCCGCTCGACCAGTTTGAGTTGGTCCAAGCAGGTTTAAAAATAAAAACCGACCCGGTGAATTAAAGTCTCGACGGGACTGTCTTGTGGTCAAAAGACCTCCATTTGATAGTTGTGGTCGAGTGTTAATTACTATGGTCTAGTTTATCACCTTCATTAACCCTTGTTGGTGTCAAAAATCGTAATCTCGGAATCAACGTCTACGATAACTTCTGTAAAAGATAGAATCATTACTTTCCACGAAATACCAAAATTGTTTAATAAAATTTGAGAAATCGTTTTATAAAACTCGAGAAATCGTTTTATAAAACTCAAGAAATTGTTTTATAAATCCAAAAGTGATTTCCAAACAAAGGAAATCCGAGGGAAACTCGGAAGATCGTTATCTCGGGAGAACGAAACAAACGTCGATTACACGATCGTCCGAGTTAAGCACAAAGCCGCGAAAAACCGAAACCGCCGTAAAACACGAGCTAGTCCCAACACGACTAGCTCGCTGTTCGGAGAGCAAGTCTCGTCACGACAAGCTCGCCGCACGGCGAGCTAGTCTCATCCCAACTAGCTCACCCAACGGCGAGCTAGAAGCTTCCCGGGCAGCTCGCCCAACGGCGACCTAAACCGGTTCGGTTCGGTTTGCTGTACGTCAAGCCGACCATCCCGAGCCTCGATCTCCCACATCCCCGATTCA